ATGTAAAAAATACTACATATTTTTAAAATAGTTATTTTCTGTGTAAGAAAAAAATACCTTCATTCATTTTTTTTTTACTAGGAGCAAGAATTTCCCCATTTATTCCTATTTAAGAAATTGCATTGTAGTATATATGATTTGGATATGATTGACAAATAATAATTATTGATTATTTGCATAAATTTTTTTATAAGAAGAAAATTTGCCAGGTCACAGTTCTTTACCAAATGTTGTAATTCTTGTGTGGATTTTGACATTTTGCATAATCAGTCAAACAATATGGGACATTCCATAGCAAAAACCACCTCTGAGGTCATCTGACCAAATTGAGCTTTTTACATAATATTGATCTATATATAATATATAAATTATATTAGACCCTATTTGCTTAATAAAAAAATTGGGGAATTTGCAATTCTTTTAATTAGTGATCAGTAGGGTGCATTTGCAACATTTTATATGGGCATGCTGTAATAAAACCAGACAAGGTGAATATTAGTATTACCAAAGATTTCAGAGATCAATAATGTTTGTTTAACATCACAAATTGTATTATTGATGTAATGTGATCATGATATTCATCTAGACAAAAATAGTTAATATGAAACTCATTTACATCAGATCTACTATGGAACCCAAGAATTACAGCACCATTAGAAGTATTTTGAAAAAGGAACAAGGTGAAAAAATTGCTCCTTATATTTTTAAATTAGCAGATACCAAATCTTTGCAAACATATTTAGACAAAGAAAGGATTACCTATGATAAATAAATAAATAAATAATAGTAAAAATACATATTAAATGTACAAATATAGAAATTGTATGTTTCCTGGGACTCTTAGAAGGAACTTAAGAGGAAACATAATTATATTGTGAAATACTGATTAATGTTCTCCAGACCACTAACTAATGATCAATATTGTTATCAATATTAATGCTTACATAACTCAAAAATAAACAAACAATTTAAACTCTATTTTAACAATGCATAGATGTTTATGTAACATCTGCAACAAATAGATAAATGAAAATAAAAATAGAATAACCACAAATATTGTCACACATAACATGATTTAGAGAATTCTAAATCACATTTATTCCATCTATTTGTTAATAAACAACTAAATAATTTAATCACATAAATGGACATCCTTTGAGCAATTTGAGGATACTTTTATTTCAATTAGTACTAGCATACAACATTGTATTCATTATAAAATGTGGCAAATAGGATACCTATTAACATTCAGCTAGGATTCTATGTGAAAAGTGACTTTAAAAATAAAATTATATTCATCAATATAAAATCTTTCCATTTGTTTATTCAGCTATTTTATTTCAATTATAATTTGCTTCTCCACTAAAATAGTTTATCTAATACTAAGCTAAAATCACACTTAAAAAGTTCTCATTATGAAAATCCATACAACATAAATAAAAAGGATATAATACCTGTGAATATCTGACAATGTGACTGGTAATCTTAGCCAAGCCATACCAAGATATAAAATAATCAAGAGATTAATTGATTTTAATTCATAAAGTTCATGTAGGATTCAATGAAAAAATCATAATTGTTTAAAAAAAAAAATTGTTCTATGAATTATATGTTTTAAACAAGCTTCCGGAAGATGTTGGTGATGACCCAGATTGTGCTTTATGTTGTGGTGTAGATGGACTGGGATTTATGATAGACTCTACCTCAAGTAAAACATTAAAATTGTGGGATATTATATTATTGAGACTCATTAAAGTCTCACATAATTTCACCATCTTGTCATATTTTACATGAAATAGATCAGAAAATAAGGGAATTGTTAAAGTCTTGACAGCACTCATTCTATGAAATGGATAAAAATGTCTATCAAGAATGTAAAAATCAACAGAGGTTTCATGAAAATGAACCATTATCCTCTTAAGCTGATCCAGATAAGAACAGAGCTGCTTATAATTTTCATGTTTCTTAAAAAAGAAATGATCATGGTTAAAGGAATCCTTGGAAAATTTTCCAAGTCTTTTTAAGTCACCTAAAACATGATCATTGTGATTCAAATTTGTTGGAAAAGGACCATTACTTATTTCGCAGAATAGAAAATCAAAATGGTGCTCATCTGTGAAATTGAAAAATGAAAAGAAATCAGGAAATTTTGTTGGTCCACCAACATTGTTTCTAAAGTCTGTTGACTGACAAGTACATCCATCCCTAAAGTGAATTTGTGTTAATTGATGCAAACAGAAAAAGGTTAATAAATTCTTTTAAAAAAATTTTTTTTAGATGAATTCATACCATTTCTCTTCAATATTTTTTACATCATACAGCATAAAATCCATCAAAGCATTTGCCACATTATGAGAGTAAGTTCTCTCATTGACTTTGCAATCTTTATTTTGATATGACTTTTTATACCAAATTTTTTTGCTTATAAAATGATGTGATGTAATTAATTAGTATAAAATTAATATAGTAATTTTTATGGAAAAGATTAAACCATACTCACAAATTTCTCAATAATGATATAAGTGTATAGTAAAAATCCTTATTCAAAGATGGAATGGAAATGTCCTTATCCAACATGAAAGATTGAATAAAATTCTTTTCGTTTACTCCAAGCTTTATATTGGGAAAATTTTTCAATTCAAAATCCTCAATTAACCCAGAATTATGCAATTTGTCATAGACAATTTTATGGTCCTTTTTGATAAAATATTTAGATATGACTCCATTTGAAAATAAGTCGTTACCATCAAGTTTCAAGTTTGATATATTTGAACACATTATTTTGGGAATATTTTTCATTTTTGGATATTTTTTAATAAGCTATCAAATAAATTATTCATTAATGAATATTTTGCATAATAAATATTAACATGAACTCAAGATTTCAAATTTTTACCTCTGTGGCTTTCTTTTTAAATTCATCAGGACTGAATGTGTATTTGTCATAATAATCTGACCCTCTTGTTGAGATATCATCATCAGATACTTCTGTGGCTATTTCATCATCATCATCATCATCATCATCATCATCATTATAATGATTATTGTAATACTTAGGTCTTTTTGTAATATGCCAAGTCATAATAAAATAAAATAATTAATTAATATAATCAAATCAAATCAGCAAACAATATGTAATATTATTGTACTTTTTTCCATTATTGTCACTTCTGCTCTCTTTGTTATCATCATAATTTAATATTCTTTCAGAAATAGTAATTAACGAATTTTTTATATAAACAATTTTTTCTTCCTCTTCTTTTAATATCCTTTCAACTTCCTCTTTCTTTAAAACATTTACAAGATTTATGGTTGTTTGTAGTGTCTCTATAAATGAATCCTAATTTCCAAAAAAAAATAATTATCAACAAAATTAATGAAAGGTTTAATTTCACATGTACCTTTGTAATTCTGATGTCACTTACAGTGGTTGTTGTAGTGGTAGGTAATTCTTGTATATAAGAGAAATAATTATTAAAATGCTTGAAATATTCAAGAAAAAATTTACTTTTTGTGCAACAAACCTTCATGAATTTCAGATCTTCCAATTCTAATGCTTCTGCCTTCCTTTCTAAAAAATGTGATAACGTACTGTAAATTATTAACTAGGACTAGAATGAAAAACTTCAAGCAACTACCACCACCATCATAATGACTAAACTAGAGTGTCAAGAATTTGCACAATCACTACTATTCTTTTAATAGTAACTAGAGTGACGACGACAGGTGGCGGGCGATAACCACCACCACCATCATTAAAACACTTACCCGCCAAGTGCCTCCCCTTTGTTTTCTTGTCTGTTTCTTTTATTGTTGTTGTTCTTATCTTTGGGCATCTCTAAATAAAAATAAAATTTGTTTTATTGATCAACAAAACGCGATTACAATATTATTATTGGCACTTGGTGTTGCACAAAGATTTTGACGGACGCGAATTGATTTTTTTTTTTTTCTTGGAAAAAACAATTTATTTTTTGACAGAGTCCAAGGTGACAAAACGTGAGCGTCGTTGTTTGGTTTGGTTTGGTTTGGCTTGGGTCTCTTAAGGAATACGTGTTAATAACTAACCAGTGGTACTACTTTTTATTTGTATTGATATTTTTATTTTATATAAACATTTTAATTGGAATCAAAACGCAGAGCAGATCCTTGCTGGGTAATTACAAGATTTTCATTGATAATATTTTGCTTTTCGTAATCGTTAATAATATTAATATTACTATATAATTACAAGA